TTATTCGAAAAGGTAAATCAGTAAATTGTTTTAATTAATAACTTAAAATAGTGAAGGACACACAGGAGGACCACTCATAGCGTCGCTTTTTCCAGTGATCTAGATTTTTTGTTTCTTTTCTTCTGTGAAAAAAGGTGCTGTAAGTAACCAAATTACTTTCAACAATAAGCTTGGGGGAACCTCCCTCCTCCCCCCCCCCCCTTCTCTCCGTCGAGAGTAACAGTCTCTTGATGAATATTCTTGTCTTTATCCATTCCGGAAGTACAGTCCGTGCCCTCGCTTTCTTTAACCTTTAATCCGTAAGAGTGACAAGGTTCTAATTTCTCCTTACAATACCACCCTGGAGTAAAAGGTTTAAGTCACGAGAATAAATGAATTGATCAACAACTAACGAAGCTCTTGATGGTTTTACAAATTCTCCCTGTTAGAACGTAGGGAATGTATAGAGAACAGTATGGAGAATATACACAATGATGTTAAGGTGCAAAGGGTTAAAGATTTTAACACTTTACACTTTAACATCAGTAAGCATATTCTCCATACATTTCACTGTACATTTATTTGATAACAGTCGAGAGATTTTTTTAGTTAGCCATCAGTTCTCTTAACCTTTCTTTTTGTTTAAATAGTGATACTCTACGGATAAATTTATCTTATTTACTTATATTGCACGTGTTACATATGCAGATGCTCACACGCGAGAACAGTATGAGTTTATTTATTATTCAGTTCTAATTTATTAATTAGGTGTTAGTTACTCGTAGAGGTTAAAAGGGGCAAATTCTGTTCTTTCTTAACCTGGGGTTTCTTGAGGTAGGTTAAAGTGTTGCCGTTTTTTGATGGCACTAGACAAAAATGATTATTTTCACGGGTCTACACAATATTTGTTTGGGTTTCATCTCTTCCTTGTACCACGTAAAGCTCTCCCGACCGTGAAATACACGGTTCCTTTTGGTCACTTCCTATCGCAGGTGCACGAATTATTTTTCACGACAGTAAAACAGCGTTTTTTAAGCTTTTAAATCTCCCGAGTTAGCCGAAAATCGCGCTGAACGGAGTAACATTTTTCCAAAAAGATTCCTCTCCTTGATGTTGATCCACAGTCTCATTTTTTTGTTTAAGTCTTTATATGGGCCATATCTGACAGAAACTAAAGCGAAACGATCTCTATTTGATTTCTATTTCTTCTGAGGCTTTACAGCTGTTAACAGCTTTGATACTCAGTAATTACAAGAGCATTCATCAGGCCACCAGGCCAATATAAAATTCAGTCCAGATGCAAAGAGCAAAACCAAAAAGAGTCATTTTTCACCTGCGACGGCCCGAACAGATTAGTTAAGTTCATTGGCCCTTTTTTATCGCTTTTATAATATTTGATAAAGCTTTATTTTAGTGAACGTAGTTTGACGAAAGTGTAAATCCTTTATATTAGCAGTTTTCCTATAGAAGGCTTTTCCCAATACACCTTTTAACGATTTGTCTTACACTTCGCGTTCTACATCTGCTACATTTTCATAGTTACTATACAATATGAAAGCATTGCATCAGGTACGATAGTTGATCACGACTTTAAATAAATTAGTTGTTTGTTAATGTGAAAAGTATCACTCAATGTCCTTTCCTCTAAAAGTCATTTTGCTCTTGAATTTTAATTTTGTAAGGGGACAACTTACATCTTCACTAATCAATCACTGATAGGTCTCTGAGCCGCTAAAACAAAAATACGTATGTAAATATTCACGTTAACAAAAGTTAATCAGGCGTCTTTTGACACAATTATGTGTGAATGAAATTTGGACTGAAATGAATTTAACTGGGTTCATTTGAACAAACTGACGTAGGTCGCTCTTAGCATGGAGTCCCACGCATAGACCAGCAATTTTGTCATTCTTGGGTAACATGCAGATCACGGCGTTGAATATAGTGTGCTTTAAATTTTCATGAAGACTTTTTCAGCTCGAAACCTTCTTTGCTCGATATCGCATTGTTTTCACTATCGCCATTTCAATGTGGGTGTTGAAGGAATTATTATGCCGAGTTAGGTGACAACAGAGGTATTCAACCAAGATCTTCCTCTTTGTTCGTCAAGACTGTTATGCATCAATACTCAGCTATTGTCATGGATACGGCACTTGACAGTCGCAGCTTCAGTCCGGGGGGGACTCGGAAAAGGTGACTGGTGACCTTGACGAATGCACAAGAAAGAATGTATTCAATCCTATGACGTTTAGTGTTTTGAAACAAAAACTTTCAAGAGTCACTGCCCACAGCCTGCTAGCTTTGTTTATTTATTTCCCAATATCAAGTTGAACGTCGACGTTGAAATAACACGGATATTACAATTTATTTTGGATCTCATATCACCTCGTTTTATGATTCTATTTAACTCCCACTTAATAAATAAACATAGCAATATTTCGTGCGACATGTGGACTGATTCTTCGGCGATTATTAAGTGGCATAAACATTGTTTAGTTTAGTATTCAAACACGGAAAAAATACCAAGAGACAATCAAAATACATTTAAAAAAGACACGATGAGTCTTTTGCACGCTGTAGCAGTTTGGTTTACCGGAGCAGCTGCTGTAATCGTCGGCTAAATTAGCAAACGCCAAGATTTACTTTGGTAGCGTTGACGTCAAATTTTTGGATCGAATTCAACAAAATATTTGACTGCGTTGTAGCAATGTTTATTGTTTGGCATCAGTGCAATGCAAACTGAAATATTGAGACAACCTTGGGACACAATGCTTCATTAAGAAAATCTATTTGGGCAAACTAGGGGTGACATTCTGTACATAATATGAATAAAAATGAAATTTAGTCTCAATATAAGCAGATTCAATATTCTGCGCCAGTCTTAAAAGATATCTGGCATTCACCGAAAACTTGTTTGTTTTTTCGTTTCCCGCGCAGGTGTTTTGAGGAGAGTATACGTGTTCACGTGTGAAATAGGCCCAAATTGCGTGTTCTATCTTGTATTAACCTTTGTTATCTCAAAAACTAAGGAACAATTACAACAGGAAAAAAATGAATTAAGTGTCAGGCACGTAAAATTACTTGCCCCTCCCCACCCAGATGCTAACAACATCCATCTTATTGGACCCCCCCCCTTTCTTTCGACGGTAACTCAGACTTCGCTTCTTGCCTGGAGGAATACTACGGCAGTCGTGTTAAGTAGTAAGGAACTCTATAATAGACCATAAAACAATCGAAGTTGAACAATTTAAGGAAGGAAATCGCATAGATTTACCCTAAACCCGCGATGGCAGAGTCGTAAGTAAATCTTTATCATGATTTGAAGTCTTAGAGAGCGACGCAAGGAACTAATCGCGGTTTTATGATCTTTTCAGGGTGAAGGTGGCCGTTCGCGTTCGGCCTTTCAACTCGAGGTAAGTGAATCGTCTAGCCTCAGTTTCGTTTCTCTGTTTCAAACACTGATCTTCGGTTATTTTCTGCAGAGAGAAAGATCGAGGGGCAAAAGTTATACTCGACATGATAGGAGCACTGACACAAATTACAGATCCCGATAATCCAGGTAGGGGTTTCCATCTTCGTGCTCTTGGAATGTTTACTTTTACTACCGTAGTGCAAACTTTTCGCAATGGATTTTCCAAAGGGGGTTTAAGTTCTTGAACCAACTGATTTATTTCTTGCTATTTTTTTTACTTATTCACACAGGAAACCCGCCAAAGGAGGTGAGAAACTGAATTTCGCTTTAATGTTGTTGTTCGCGCTGTCATTAGCTAACTACCGGTGCTATGGCCAAAGCGCTGTTAAGTTAGGCTTGCCTTGCGCAATTCTTGTTCTGACGAAACTTTTTCCTTTTATTTTCATGATAAATCTTCTTACAGTTCACGTTTGACTTCTCGTACTGGTGAGTGTACTTTTTACTTGTTGTCATGGCGTTTACCCTTTGGAGTACTCTGTTAGGTTTTAATACACAAGCTAGCTTATATTGCTTCATCTACTGAAGTTTTTAGATGTATGCGTAATCCAAACAAACTCCTATATTCGATTAAAAGGACTAGCTGATCATTTGAAAAAAAGATAAGAGCCATTTTCGCTCATTTCAGGTCTCACGATGGTTTTCACGAGGACGAAAACGGCTATCTTGTCGCAGATAATGAGAAGTACGCGACACAGCGAAAAGTTTTCGATGACTTAGGACAGGGTGTCTTAAATAACGCTTTTGCAGGTAAGCTAACCGTATCTTTTCTTTTCTCATGTTTATTATTTAAAGGAAATTTTCATGTTTGGACCACACTGTCCACTGGGAATTAATAATGAATTTTGACCTAATAAAACTTTTTAATGGCAGGGTGCTGCATGCCGTCTCGAATCAATTAAAAACTTGCATGAGTGAAATTAATTCAAAAGCTTCCGTTTCCACGTAAACATTACTTTCAGTTGATCCCCTTCCAATATTGCCCTTCATTGATGTATAAATTTCAAATGCATTGTTTCGCTGGAAGGCGACAAAGAGGGTTTAGTTCCATGCTTTCATCTAAGTGTCTGTTCATTTAGTCGGAGAAGTTTTCAGAATAAACTCTTGTTCGTTATAAATAAATTAGCCTTAACATAACATCTTCACCTACTGAACAAGATGTTTAATTCAAATTCGGAATAATTGTTGCTAAATGGTTAGAATTTAGCGACTGATGCTTTATCTTTTATCATGGTGTGTCAATTCTAAACGAACTTAGTGATTTTAATCAATTATATAATTTGATTTTACATGCCATTAAAAGTTAATTAAAGGCAAATAACAATCATCAGACAGTCTGGTTGTCTAGAATCTGAAGTGTCTGGTTATATTTTGATCATCCCAGTAAATTGGGTTGCTAAAAGTTTTTTATGAAATCCAATCTTAGACTGTCATTTTTTCCTGAATCAAGGTAATCAAAAATTTAATTTAACATGCCTCTTGTTCACTGACAGGTTTCAACTGCTCACTGTTTGCCTATGGACAGACAGGTGCTGGAAAGTCATATTCCATGGTGGGATATGGAAACAATAAGTAAGTATTCAGGCTCAGTTTTATTCCAAACACTGCATGACGCACCCACCAATTCCAGTTTCATATGCACAACTAATGTTCCAGTAACATTGATTTCTGGTGTGAAGAATAATTTCTCACCAATACCACACTTAAAGACCCAAACTAAAGTGTTTGTGTCTAAGCTTAACTTTTTTGTCTAAAAATTTGGGTTTAAAAGCTTGGTACCAGTCCTTTAGTGCCTCAATCACTTAGGTCATAACAACCTAATCAACATCCATACAATTAGCAGATACATTCCATGTTGCTGTGCATCATAGTAATTAAATTATAGATGATCTCAAAATGTGACTAGTATGAAAAAGTGGCACATCAAGAGCAGCTTTTCAGAATTTCTGTTTTCTTAAGAGAATAACAAAGCTTCTTTCTTTCTTTCATAAGCATTTTTCAAGCAACCCAGAATTATGGTTTTGAAGGGGTATAATTTGATTACAGGACTTGAGACAACTGGTGATGATATTGTAAGAGTAACTGAGAGTCAATTTTGTTTGCTCACTTTACAGAGGTATTGTGCCCATTACATGTGATGAGTTGTTTCAAGCAATGGCTAAGGGAGCTGAAGGAGTTGTAAGTTCAAGTTCTAGGGTACTTGATTAACCCTTTAACTCCCAGATCAAATTTGTAATTCTTCTCACCATCAACCATACAATTCTTATAATGTTAGTTCAGTGAATTTAGTATTGAATCAACTAATTATCACCAAATTGATATTTTTTTTGATTCTCATCACTTATCTAGTTGATATTGTATTGATATTGTGAGGAGAAATTCTGTCTTGGTCACTCATGGGAGTTAAAGGGTTAAGGTCTTTAATTGATGCTTAAAAACTTTTCTCAAGGAAGTAAAAATGTAGTAACTTGTTATTGGTGGCCCAGAGATGACATTCTAAAATGCCATGAATTTTGAATTATGAAAGCTACTAAGCATGCATGGAACAAAGAGTTTATTGTCTCACTTTGTTGTTGTTTTCTTTTCATAGAAATACCAAGTTTCATTTAGCATGTTAGAGATTTACAATGAACAAGTGCGAGATCTTCTGGTCAAGAACAATCCTAAGGGTGGTTTGCAGGTTAGTTGGGACCTAACATCTCTAATTAAGTACTCTTGAATTAGCAATTTTCATCAGTGTTGAAAATGTGGACCCAGTTGTTCAAAGCTGGGTTAAAATAATCCAGGGTTGGTGTGAAATTGGAGTTCAGATCTGAAAGCTGATTTTACATGACCCCTGGCTTAACTCATTACACCCAAAGATCAGTATGCATATTCTCTATACTGCTCTCCACACATCTCCTAGGGAGTTGTTAACAAGAGTTTGGTTAACAATCAAAATGTTCCTTCTAGAGTAATAGTTTCCTTTAATTTTGTGACTTTAAAGTGTGATTCAGGGGTGATATTTGGAGAAGAAACTTGATACTAGTCACTCTTAGGGATCAGAGGGTTAAGGAAGATTACTTAGTGTGATGTGAATGTACTGCAGTACTTAACAACACTTACAAGTGCTCCAACAAATTATTGATCTTTTCTGTTGTGTGCAAATCATGGAGCACATAAACTTTTTTGATGACCTTAAACCTAGTAAGCTTTTTACCAACTGATTTTGTTTCTCAAAGGTTCGTCAAAACCCTAAAGAAGGAAACTTCTTTGTTCAAAATCTTAAGAGAGTGGCTGTTGTGGATTATGCAGATATTGAACGCAGAATTGAAGAAGGTAAATTTGCAATACAAAATATAGTTTAAAAAAGTCAGAAAAATAGTTAGTAAGCTCTTTTACTGGATGCTACATCATTTTTTCTTCTAAGGGGGTTCAACTTAATCTGTCATCATTTTAAGATAAGAAAAGTCCCTTTAAGTGATAAGTATGTCTATTCTGTTCACTTGCTTGCAGGATAATGCATTGAAATGATAAGGGTTTGTTAAATTTTTATCACCTCATGGAGTCAGAGTGTAATCTGAAGCATATAGCATAAGGCAATAGTAGATTATGCTGTCTTGTTTTGCAAAACAGATTTCTTGTGTGTGGTGGGATTAGATTGAAAAGATTGTTGACACATGTAGTGTTGTTGTAATGGCTTTTTAAATAAAAATAATGTGCAAGCCCTGAAATATTTGTATTGGATGGGAATTTTTTACTCAGAAAATATTGTACAGGAAAAATGGCTTCAGTTGTGGTTATATTCCCCTCTAATATTTGTCCACCATTATTCCAACATTTGTTTTGTGTCTTGTGGAACTTGTAAAGGAGATTCTTTCAAGTGTAACCATTTATTTATTAACTAGAGCCTGGTTTTCAATCACAAGCGTAAGTACAAACTCAAGCACTACAACTTGTATTAATTTTATTGAAAGGGCCTCAACACAAGCATAAACACAAGCACAAGTGTGAGCACAAGGATCAAAATTTTCCCCTTTTCTTGTGCTTGTGCTTGTTGACATTTGTTTTCAGTTTGTATAATTACCTTATGCAGGCATTTGTTCTTGCACTTGTGCTTGCGTCTCTGGTGAAAACCAGGCTTAAGGGATTGACAAGTTGTTTCCTTTGAATTTCAGGTACTGCTAATCGCACAGTAGCAGCTACACAGATGAATGCCACAAGTTCCCGTGCTCACACAGTGGTAACCATCATATTTGATCAGATCAGCAAGAATGAGTCAGGACAAGAGACAAAGAAGAGTAGTAACATAAACTTGGTTGATTTGGCAGGTTGGTGTAGTTTTTTTTGTGGCTTGGATCTTACAGGCATATACAGTGGTCCATTTTAGTTTTAAGGGATCAGAGGTATAGCTAGTCAGGGTTCTCAACGATCTAGTCAGTTAGTAGACAGCTAGCTGTGGGAACTAGACAGCTGATTATTTAAGAGCTCCTTCCTGGGGTGTAGGAGCATGCTCACTCGCATGATTTTATTTTTTAAAAGTACAAATTATATGCTCTGAAATGTAGTTTTTTTGTGTTCCTTTGGAGGGATGTACAAATCAGTAAGGCCATTGGTGGGCTAGATAAACAGTCAAAAGGTAGAGATTGGAAGTGTGCTCAGCCAGCCAGAAAATGTAAAAGCATATGTTTTTATGTTGTGCAAAAGAGAATTTCAAAAATGTTACTTGAGGCAGCCAGTTTTTTAGCTTGGGGCTGACCTTTAATGAGAACCCTGGCTAATCTCACTGAGAATGGGATGCCAATCTGATCACAAGTTACTCCATGCATAGCATGTTTGTCAGGTTTCCCTGGAAATCTCCCAGGTGCTTATGTTTAACCTTTGGTGGAGAGATGAAGTGCATGTGATACTTATCATAATGGAGAACACAACAAAACTTTTGACTCTGAAGGAGGTCAAATCTGCATCATTCAATCCATAGTCCAACACACAAACTATATGGCAACCATGTCCTCCATGGATTTCTAAAAGCTATCATGATCAGTAATATATTAAGACCACATTCCATAGACCTGAGCTTTGAGCCCTAATTGAACCTGGGGCATTGCCCACTCTACTTCATAAACTGGGTCAATTTGAACAAATATTTTCCCTCACAGGCAACTTCCTGGCAGTTGTGTTCTTGATATCCTAACCTACCCATCACCAACATGATTTTTCTTTTTGTTTCATTTAAGGAATAACCCTTGCCTAGAAGAGTAACCTTGTAACATCAAGTTAGACTGTAGTCTTAAAATGTACCAAATGAGCTTCATTGTTCATCAGTTAATGACTATTTTGCTTTCCATGCATTAACCAGGTAGTGAAAGAGCTGATAGCACTGGTGCAACTGGTGACAGACTCAAAGAAGGAGCCAACATCAACAAATCCCTTTCAGCCCTGGGTAATGTGATCTCAGCCTTGGCTGACTTGTCCATGGGTAAAAAGAAAGTGTTGGTGCCATATCGAGACTCTGTTCTGACCAAACTGCTTCAGAATGCTTTGGGTGGCAACAGCAAAACCATCATGATTGCTGCTTTGTCTCCAGCTGATATCAACTATGATGAAACACTGAGTACTTTGAGGTATGTTCTCCAAACCCTATATTAAGAATTTTATGATATAGTTGGAAAAGTTGAATACAAACAGATGAACAAACTAACCAAAGACTGAATAGAAGAAACATGGATGAACAGACCAATATCTAAAAGTTCAGATGGCAGAAGAGAGTTGATGGGCAAAATCCGGACTTGGAAAAACCAAGGAATTATTACATCTATCATTACATTTCTTTTCGAACAATATGATTAAACACAAATATGTCTAAATAGCTATCTTTCAATAACAACCTCAAATACATTTTATCTTACAGATATGCAGATCGCGCCAAAAAGATCAAGAACAAAGCAGTGGTTAATGAAAATCCAATGGACAAGCTCATCCGGGAATTGAGGGAAGAAAATGAAAAGCTTAAGAAGATGTTTGAAGGTGGAGGACTGCCTGATCTTGGTGCTGGAGCTGCAGTGATGAGTATGTGATGTGATCTCTTAAAGAAAATGGCAATATTGTAACATTTCATTTTACTTATTGCACATTTTTCATGCACGACATTTAGTAGAGAATGATCCAAAACAGAAAAGTCCTTGATGGAATGATCATTACGTCAAATTCTTTTGGAAACAATCCCTCAGTCTTTTCATCAGGTCATTGGGAATGCCTAATTTGTCCTGAAAAGATCAGTTGAGGTCATCATGGATTTTAATGGTTTGAAGGAGGTCAAAACTTGTAAATTTGAAGTACATGACCCTTCTAAGTTTTAGTATCACCCCTAAATCACATGTGAAGGTCACGAGATTAAGCAAAAGGATCACCAATTGAAGAAGCTCTTGATTTTCTGTAACAAATTCTCCTTATCAGCAACTTAAGAAATGTATGGAGAACAGTATGGGGAATATGCATACAGGTGTTAAGAGTAAAGGGTTAATAATGATAAACATTCATCATTGGTGTTCTTCAGCTGAAGCTGAGAAAGAGGAAATGAGGCGGAAGATGAAAGAAGAACTCCTTGCACAGATGGAATTTAACCAACAGAACATGATGAGCTGGGATGAAAAGGTAAAATCTGGTTTACATGTGAACATGTGTTCTCCCTTCTTGCTTTAGCCTTTTTAATCCCATAAGTGACCAGGATAGAATTTCTCCTTATAATATCAATGCAATATCAAGCAGACAAGTGATGAGAATAAAGAAAAATATCAATGAGGGGATTATAAGTTGATCCAATAGCAAATTCTCCCTACCTACATCACAAGAAGTGTATGGTAGACAGTAAGGAGAATAACTAGGGAGATCTTGGGAGTTAAAGGGTTAATTCTTGAATTCCTCAAGTCCATTTAACCTAGCTGTTAATTTTCAAGATTGAGGTGTCAATCTTCCCATCTTCTGCCACATTCCTCTCTCTCTCTCTTTCCTGGTCTCTCTTGCTTCCCCTCCTTATTCATCTCTTGAACCTGTCACAAGTCCCACAAGGTCTCCTACTCTTGAATGGTGCAAATTTTTAAAACACCCACGCTTTTTGATGACTTTGGGACTCAGATAGGTGTCCAGTGGGCCAAATTCCATAGTTTTAACCACTCAAACTTGTTTACATTTGTGTCTTAACAGGTCCAGATGTCTCAAAGTGATTCATCAGCAGGAGAACAAAGTGAAAAACAGAAGAAGACAAAGAGTGTGCCACATTTGATTAACTTAAATGAGGACCCCATGTTGTCTAGAGTCATCTTTCATTTTCTGGAACAGGGTAAGTGTTGTTTGCATGTGGAAGTTAACAGATTAAAGTGAAAAATGTAATTCATTTCTGTTTTTGTTTTTTTTTTGTAGCGGAAACTAGAATAGGAAGGAAAGATGCTGATCCTGTACCAAATGTCCCTCTTTCTGGCCTGAGGTAATTTTTTAGATGCTTAGCCTTTTACACACACACATCAGTATTCATAACTATACTCCATACTGTTCCCTGTACATTTAAAAGGGTACTGACTAGAGTTTCTTTAGTTGGTGATCATTTTCTTTATTCTCATGACCTTAATGTGTGATTAAGGGGTGATAATGTAAGGGGAAATTGTATGCTTGTCACTCTTACGGGTCAAAGAGTTAAGTCCACAATGTAGCCTGCAAGCAAGTCCTCATTGTAAGTGCTGCAGGACACATGATTTTTGCCCACAAGAAGATTTAAGCCAAGTTAGGGAGAGGTTTTCCAGGCTCTGGCACCCTCATTATCCGGCAGTGCCAGAGCCTCTGCAGACCTCTGACCAGCTGGTATTGCCAAAGGCCTTATTCTCCCCAGCAGGCAAAGAAACACTCATGTTCAAAAGCTTTACATTGTTAAATTGAAACTTAAAAATTTTTATGTATATCTTTAAACTAGTTTTGTAGGGGGTGTTGAATTCTCTAAAAAGTGTAGAAATATGAAAGCTGGTTTTCAGATTGGTAAATAGTTGTGATCACAGATGAAATCTAAACGGTGTGAAAAAAGCATGGGAATTCTTTTTCCTTAATCAATCAGTGCATTATTGCTGAATGCATTGAAATGATTACAAAGTTGCAAGGGCAAACAGAACTTCAATTGATGATTGGCTTTGTCTTTTGAGTCACAGTTTTCATTGTGTGAGGCCCCTTTTGCCCCTTCTTTGACCCTTTGACCCCTAAGAGTGACTAGCATTTAAATTCTCCTCACAATATCACCCCTAAATCAAACATTAAGGTTATGAGAATAGAGGAGGTGATCACTCACTAAAGCAGCTCTTCATTGTAAAACAAATTCTCTTTGTCAGCAGCTTAGGTAATGTATAGTGAATAGTATGGAGAATATGGATACTGATGTTAGGGGGCAAAGGGTTTAGAAATTAAGATTTTAGAGCTGCACTCCTGCTATCACAATTTAACAACTGCATTGCAAAATGGAGGTTGGGTGCCTGAAACATTCAGGAGCTTTCACTATTGGCAGCCAATACCTAGATGGAGACTTCTTCTATGGCTAGTAAATCATGGCACTCAGCCATGGGACCCCATACAGGAAAGGGACACAGGTACCCATCACACTGAATAAGCAGTGGAAAGAGGGAGGGAAAGGGTGGATAAAACTGTCTGGAAAATTAGCTGCCACTCCTCACAGTGCTGCAAGTTCACACTCAAAGCGCACACCGGAACGCCTCAAACGACTAGCACATGGAATTCCAATGCATGCGCATAACCAAAAAAAGGTCGACTATCAGAGAACGCTGATGCTCGTTGTTGTTGTTGTTAACTCCATTAAATTGCATTTAACTGCATTTAAAAGGGAGCTCTCTATTGAAAACCTAGTGATTCATTAGAATTTCTGTTGTTATTTTACAGTATTTTGAAACAACATGCCTTGGTAAAGTCTGTGAATGGGGAAATCACCATTGAGCCTGCATCACCAGGGGCAAAGACAAAAGTAAATGGAATGCCACTCACTGGAGAGCGTGTTCTCAAACATCATGACAGAATCTTGTTTGGTAAGTTTTTCTTTTCCCATTTTTATAAATACAATTTCCCACATCATTAGCTATACTATTCACGAAATGTAATCACCTGCAGTATGTCAACGGAAAGATTACTTAAGTATTTAATGTATGTGCATGATTTTTCTTGCTTTTATGTGTACTTTCTATACTTACACACAATTGTTACTTACTTCTATACACGCATTTTGAATGGTTCTTACTTATGATTTATAGAAGGACAGATGCATAGATGACTTAACCATTAACAACATTTTGCTTTTTTATTATACTATTGCAAATAAATTCCATGTTGCTGTGGGTCTGTACTGTAAAAGATCACATCAGATCTCAAAATGTGATAAGAACATCGGTGACACACTCGGCTGCGCCTTAAGTGCCTGGTTTTTGTTCTTATCACATTATGACATCATCTGGGATCTATTACTGAACAGACGTATGGCAGCATGAAATCTATTTGTTAAACCGATACAATGCTAAAAATATCTAAACATAAGTTACAGTATGGCTGTCTACAAGATTCACTACAACTTTCAACACTGACATTGCTCAATCAGCAGTTAACATGAGTAACCTGCTTGGTAGATAAATTATCTGTTTACTTGGCAGGTTCGAACCATATGTATTTCCTGGTAAACCCAACCAACCCTGAGAAAAGTGAGGGAACTCCAGACAACGTGGACTGGGAGTTTGCTCAGAAAGAGATTGCTCAGGCTAAGGGTTTTGCCACTGGGTTTGGAAGTGGACTTTCCAAAGGTAATTTTTTAAAATGTTGAGTCCAATTTAAACTGTGTAAGTGATAGTAAATTAAGTAAAGACAAATTACGTTGTTAGTGTGATAAGGTGGTTAGAATGCCACAGTGTGGTTCTTTATCTGCTGCTTCGCGGTTGAATTGGAATCAAACATTGACCCTTTCACCGCTCAGTAAGTGACTAGCGTCTAATCTCTTCTTATAATATCACCCCTGAATCGCACATTAAAATCACTAGAATCAAGAAAATAAGCACCAACCAAAGGAGCTCCTGATTGTGAAACAAATTCTCCTTCTCAGCACCTTAGGAAATGTTTAGAGAACAGTATGGAGAATATGCATACTGGTGCTTGGGCGTAAAGGGTTAAGATCATGACAAGGAAGGAAAGGAGTGCCAAATCAAGAGGCTTTTAATTGTGAATTAAACACATGACTAAATCTGGGGGCGAACTCGACTTGGTGGGGTCGAACTCGAAAAGTGTGGGGGCGAACACGGTATAAGGTAGGGGCGAACTCGAAGGGGCGAACTCGAAGGGGCGAACTCGATAGGGGGCGAAAGCGGCGGATACCATTCTACTAATGAGTTCTATAGCAAATGAATAAGGAACAGTACGGAGAACATGAGTACTGATGTTAAGTTGAGTTTTGAGTTAACTGTGGTGATGCAATGATTAGATCAACAGCGAGCTCAGGAACAAGTGCTAGAAGCGCTTCCCTTGGTCAGTGAGGTGAACGCCATGAGTGAAGAACTCAACAAGCACAAGTATGTCTTACTCGGACAAACATCTCCGAGAAAATGTCTTAAGTAAAAAATTCCTCCATTTTGGAAACTCCCCAGTTATTTTTTTTAGGATAAGTTATTGTTGCTATGGTTATTGTGATCAATTCTGTGATTGGTGGATTTAGCTGAGTGGACTTAGCATGATTGGCTGCTTCAACTGTCCGATCACGCTGTCACATTACAACTGTACAGTATGATTAGTGTAAATGAAAGTCATTAATACACCAATCACATTTGAGGAAATTGTAATGGTCATGATCAACTGTAAAACTGAAGGATTGATTGACTGACTGACTGACTGATTGTTCCATGAGCTCAAAGAGTGGATGAGCGGTTAACTGTTGAAAACAACTCCCTGTAAAAAGCTGTCGGCCTTCTGAAGGCCAACAGTCGGCTGACAGCCGGCAGTCAGGGCAAACAACTCACTGAGATAAGGACTGAACGAACAATTGATTGTTTGATTGATTGATTGATCGATTGATTGATTGATTGATTGGTTGATTGGTTACCAGGACATTTGAAGTTATCCTGATATCAGGTGCAGCTCAGGGAGGTGATTCAGAAACAAAGTAAGTTCCATCATTGCTAGGCTTGTTTGGCAAAACGCACGTTACCTGGTGCCATGCAATGCGCCTTAACATGACTAAATGGCACGAAACTCATTCCCTAGCTACTTGAATAAAGAGGAAATTCTACGGAGGAAATGAAGAAGTGAACAGTCATGTGATTGATAATCCAGTGCGGTACACTGGATTCACAGATTTTTCATGGGAAGAAATACGCGGTGATTAATGGGGAGAAGTGGTATGAGGCTGTGGTATGAGGCTGGTTAAAGAAGTGTCATTGGTGAGATTCGTATACAAAGACAAAAATTTGCTCACATTCCTCTTGATAACTCGAGGATGAACCGTTATTTATTTCATAATGCTAATTGAACTGAGTGAAGCGCAATTTGGTCTGAAATCATACGCATGATTTTGAAATTGAACGAGCGCGCAGTGCAAGTTTGATTTTAAATCACAAGTATAATTTTTCTCGTTAAAATTGCGCGACGCGAAATTCAATTACCATTTTATTACATCTGTTTTGAAATTGCAGTATTCAGTCGCTCAAATACAGGTTTTTTTTAGTCTATACAAATATAATATTGATCCAGTATTGAGTTGGTTTATTAAAAGTTGCAAAAGTTGTCTTTAATTCCCTTGCCATTTGATTGGTTTCTTTAAAAAAAAGCCTTTAGATCCAATTGGTTGTTGTGTTTTGGGAAATCTGTCACTTTGGCTGGGAAAAGATGCAATTTAGAGCATAGAGGGATTCGATTTGTAACTAAACCACACCAGTGAGAGCCATTCAGATCGCAGTGATTTGAAAATGGTCGGCCAACCCCTTGAGTGAGAAGCATCGGAACATCGATCGAGTGTCCTTCGGCCATTGGCTCACTATCGGCCGACTACCTTCCGACTATTGACGGACTATTGACCTACTATCGATCGGCTATCGAGTAACTTTCGTCGGACTTCCATTCGTGGCTTCCTCCAGTACACCTGATTCGATTAGCCTAGACTTATCAGAAATACCAACGCAGTAATTCGTTTGTCTGCGCTTGAACGCTAGATTTAGCAAGTTAACCCAACAAGTATCTTATTTAAATATTTTTTTAAGAGTCATGGTGAGAATGAGGAACTTACTTAATGGTAATGTGTGGCTATGGGATCGTGGAAAGTTCATGAACAGGCGGTTCGTGATGCAGGTAAGAACTAACTATGGCTTAACACGTATGTACGCATATTTTCCATACTGTTTTCTGTACATTCCTCAAGGCGATGACAAGGAGAATTTGTTTAACAATCAAGAGCTTTTTTAGTTGGTGATCATTTCCTTTATTCTCATGACCTAAATGTTTGATTCAGAAGTGATATTGTTAAGAGAAATTAGATACTTGTCACTCTTTGGGGTTAATGGGTATATACATAAAGAACGGACAAAGGGAATTTGAGTTCTTGGGAGTTTTCTAACGCCACTCAGTTGTGATTTTGAGAACGAAATCTCTACCTCCTTTACTCTAACAGACATGTCGTTAAATTAGCGATTTAAGCAGTTTAGTAGGATGTTGTGCGACCTGCATATAACTTGGATTTTATTAGCAACGTCGCAATCTTTTCCTAAATCTCTCTTCGACCGTTTTCCTTGTGTAAGGGCATTTCTGTTGTACTCTATTTAAATATGACTTAAATGATCGTTTCCCCTTGTTTATTCAGGAACACTATCAACGATCTATTGATGGGGAAGATATGAGTAAAATCCCGAAAGAGGAAGATCCTTTCTGGGAACCCCCTGAAGATGTGCGGATTGGAACGGCAAGCGTGTTCCTACAGAGTCTCAGCTATGAGTTGGACTTCGACGATAAGCTCTCTATCACAGATTACAAGGTTTGTACGTAAATAATGATATTGAACAATTGTTACAAGCGTTAGACAAGGAAAACCATCAGTCCCTTAGGAGATTTCGAACCTCAGGAAACACAGCAGTCAACGGTGTGGTATACACTAAGCGCATGTATTTACATGTACCACCAAACTTTTTTTTTGTTTTTGTTGTGCCAAAGTCATTGCATCGTAGCACGTGTTTTCCATTATTGAATACACATTTTGTCTTTCTTTCCCCTTTCTGTCTGCAGGGCGAAGAAGTGGCGACCACTGTCATCAACGTTTCTCCTTGTGATCCTAATGGCAAACCTTTAAAGGAAGACGTTTTTGTTGAAGATCCCTCTGAGCTTCTTGGAAAACCATATCACTTCAAGGTATGAGGCAGCTGTGGGAATTTTTTTACCTTCAACCAGAGTAGCTCGGGCTTATTACACACAGTCTTTCAGCGTGTTTTAGCGCTGATCTTGTGGCCTTAGATTTCAATAAAATTTCACAATGGTGGATTATTTAATTTGCTCACTAGCCACTGGAGTCACTAGCGTCCGAATTCTCTTTACAATTTCGCTACACCTCCAAGCAGCCATACAACATTAAGGGAGAAAATTGGCCATTTGAGGGATATTTGTCCCTTTATAACGCCAAATTCTCAGTACCAACCGATACAAAAAGTGTACGGTCATCTTTTAAAATATATAACTTCAACTTTTGAAGGAAGAGGAGTTTAAAAATTTAGAGGAACTGAACAGGAACGAGAAAGAAAAAAGAGGAGAATAAAAACTTGAATCAAAAAAAATTTTATAAAAGTTCTTCACCTCAGTTTGTCTCCTAAAGAATTGCCTTGAAGGTATTTATTGCCACCATTGCTTTGACTGTCAATTTATTAAAAATTTACTCGCTCTGCAATTTTTTTGTTGGTTTCGTTCTTACATTTTGATATTGGTTATGTTTTTATGTCTGGACAACGTGACAGAACTGATTCTTACGGTAACTTTAGGCGATCCTTTTTTCTCGCCAAGCAATAATCGCGTTTGTTGTTATGCAGGTCTCCATTCGTAATGTTAGCGTGCACGACAGCAGATTTAACAAGGGGCTTTACCTCAGGTACAAACCGTTTAAAGAAACAGAATATACCGTGACTAAAACAGTGAGAGACACGCTATCACCCGAGTTTGATGAAAAGGATTCGAAAGTGTTCAGTTTTGACTCGGTGAAACAAGACCTGTTGGACTGGTTTGACACAGGCTGCATCACCTTTGAACTCTTTGGTCGCCAGGAGGACAGTGATCCTGATTCCACTCGAACGAGAATGACAACAAAGGTAATTAAAGTTTGGGACTTTTGTGACCAGTTTTAAAATTATCTCGGCTTCCGTGGTATGAAGCGAACGGCAGTTTTTCTGCTCCACCTGAATGGTTTTTAAGGCCATCGGAGGTTACCCCTTAGTATTTTCGTCAAGTCTTCTTGACTAGCTCGCAAGCAGGCCTTCATCTTCAGCGCTACAGGACGCGAGTTTTGCCGTCCGCGGGAAAATTTGATACGAGTCAGGGAGAGGTTTGGCGGGGATCTGGCGCTCATTGTCAGTTCCAGGCCACTTGAAGAGCTCTCGTCGGTTCGCGTTGCTCAAAGCCTCCTACTTTCTTGCGGACGAAGAAACGCTTGGACCGAAGTGCAAATATTGAGGACCTGCTCGCAAGGTACCTCTTGACCCTTTAACTCCTAAGATTTCATTATTAATTCTCTTTACTGTCTGCCATACAACTCACGGGATGTTAGTTTGGAGAATTTGGAATTGGGTCAACCAATAATCCCCTAATTGATATTTTTCTTTATTCTCATTACTTGTCAGCTTGATATCGTACTGATAGTGTAAGGAGAAATTCGGTCCAGGTCACTAGTGGGACTTAAAGGGCTAACAGCCGGGATTCCTGGTTAGAGAGACAATTTGAGAGTGAAGCATGCAAACATTCATAAGATGGACAAAAAAGTTTCAAGAGGTTACAAGAGGGATTTTTTTTTAATTTTTTGATAGGAATTGCGCCAAATGGAAATGCAAATGGCGAGGCCAGGTATGGGAGGTCGTTCCACCACCATGATTGGAAATGACATCGCTCCCGCTCAGCTGAAAGCAGAGCATATTCTGCTCAAGAGGAAAAACCAACTACTTCTCAAGAAGGAAAAGCGCATTCAGGTAAATGAAGTGTGGTAATACCCGTACGTGTGCGAGGATTCAGCTTGGAGAATACTGAGGGAAGATTATTATTTATCACCTGCGGAGGGGGAAGGGGGGAGGGGGGTGGCAGTTTGATGAATTTGGTCGTGTCACGACAAAATTTTTCCTGATCCCCCTAAGGCTCTTTAGTACTCTAATAATTGATCCCCTCTCCGTTCCGCTTGAAATCCATTTGATCCCCAAAAATCCTACGCCCCCTCCCTCTTTACAGGCGAAAAACTAACGGCTGGTTCTTAAGCTACAACGTAATGCAACATGAAAAAAAAAGCCTTTCAAAACGAAAATTACCAGCGGTAAGTGTGAAAGTGTATTTTACTTACGCCGAGCACGTGTTAAACTCGTTTTGAGCGTGTTTCCGATGCGTACTGAATATATGTGTGACCGCCGTTAGGCGCATGTGGAGCCCTGTATCAACGTCTATCGAGCGGTTGCTGAGCTCGTGTCAAACCCGCGTTCGGTGCGCAAGACAGATAAATGATTTTCAGTGTACAGTTCAATAAATTACTCGCTTGCTTAATTAATGACAGGATCTGTGTACCGAATGGGCCAATAAACCGAAGGAAGAACAGACATTTGAAGGTTTTCATCGCGCGGTGTCCGCGGCAGCTGCTCACCAGTACGGCCGCACTAAGTACAAAGTCAACACGCTGATGGTGGTAAGTGAATTAGATGACGTCTGGAAGTAACACTTCTAACCAACTAGGACGGATCTCAGAAGCTCTCCTACATTCTTTGCGGTGTCCTGTCCTTCCACCTTGAAATAAAACTCTTTCATTTTTAAGAATTCTCATTTAGTGTTGGTGAAATAAATTCGAAATACCTCTTCTTCGATCAGTCGCATTGAACTGTCAAAGCTATCAATATCGTTTTCTAAAGCTAAATCTCAGTGATGGAGTTGAGATGTACTCAAATTGTGTTTTATCCATCATCTGAGTTACGATATCTAAATTCTCGATTTCAAATCTCCAGTGTGGAACTGAAATTTACTTAATTGACCCCCTGCCCATCATCCTTTACTTCATCTTCTCCTTACAACAACGTCCGTACTATTTGGTAGATGTATATGTATTCACATATTTTGTTTAAATTTCCAGATGCTTAAAAATCAAAACGGTGCTACGGCAAACGGTGGAGTCATCAAACAAGACCCCAAGGTCACTGAAGGAAGTCGCGCCT